TGATAAACACATAAATAAACATTGTTATATTGGAGAACTGTGATTTAAGTGTCATATGTAATAGAATGATGAATATATCCTCTGGTGGCAGCAGAAAAGGGTTGAAAAATAAATGTCATACCTGAAAGTGAACCTGGGTTGTGTGGAAGAACAAACAGGGGAACTGTGTGTGTGTGACAGTAGGTTATGTGAATGGACTAAAGGCCACTCAAACAACAAACATTACAAGGAGAAAACTGTTTTTCTTTGTAATGATCTCTGTGCATCCACACTGATGGGTAAAGACTAGTAAGCTTACCACTGACATGAAATTCGCCAGGCAGGCAAGTAGGAACCTGCAATTATTACAGCATGGTGGACAGGGCAGAACTGCCAAAAGATGTGTACCTCCAGGCTCTAGTATCCAAATAGCATTGCTAGATAAAGGTGGATGGTTGTTGACCACATGGCAACTCTGCACAATTCTGGTTTTGATGGCTGAGAAAGTAAAGATGAGCCTCAAAGTAAGTTTTGGTCCATCAGCTTAGAGACATCAGGATCTCTGATGGTATGTAAGTTGCGTTCATTCTGAATTGAAAATCAAAGTTTAGGTTACAGTGCTTTAGTAGTGAGGATTGTGGAAGTCTCATACGGAATCTAATAAAGCAAAACCTCAATACTGAGGATGCCATAGGATCGGGTAATTTTAGAACATGGAACACCTTGCCCCTAAAATGGTCTATAATGTCTACTATTTTATGAACTTGATCAGACTGCATCTTTGTCCCTATGAAAGTAATGGCACTTATCCTGATTGATGCTGAGGTCTAGATCATTCAGATGTTTGACCATGTTATCAATGTGATGTCATAGGGCCACAACCAGTCATATAAGGGCCACAATCAGCCAAGATGAATAACCCACTGTGCTTGTGGTGAAGACTCTCAGGGCTGCTGAGAGGCTGACTGGGAGCACCAAGTACTGAAAGCAATCCATTCCCAGAGCATGTTTGAGCTATTTCTGATTCATGAGAACTTGGCAAATGTGAAAGTAGATATCTTTCAAGACTGTTGTTGCAAACCAATTGTACTCTCTCAGGGGGGGGGAGATTAGTCACAGTCATCATCTGAAAATGTTTTGTAGTGGTACAGGCATTGGCACCTTGATGGTACAAAATGGGATAATTCCTCTAGCCTTCTTTGGTACTGTGAATTATCAAGAATAATACTGATGGGAACTAGTAGGTCTTGGTACTGGTTCTGTAGCACCTTTACCCTTCCTGGATCAGGAACTCTGAGGGTGGACTCAAAGCACTTTTTAGTGGATGACAGTCCAATTCAATATAATAGTGTAAGAAAGTGGACAGGGGAGAGGAGATCCCTGTCAGTGCGCCTTCTTCCCACTGGGAAGCCAGAAATGGTGTTTGAAAGATTTGTGGACCCCGAAGAGGTGATTGTTGAAAGTCATGAAACTAAGAATAAAACAGTTGAGTTAAAAGAAGAAAAAGTGTATCTTTCTGTTATTGGGGGTGTAGGTCATATTGGGGTGTTAGGGGAACCCCTCACAATTAGCTCTTCTAGAGTGAAGACCCATCAATTGAGTTATATTATTCCAGCCTTGAAGATGTTGAGGAAACCTGGTACCAAAGATGACAGACAGGCTTGGCATGTTGTTGTTGCTTAGTCGTCAAGTTGTGTCTGACCGTCACACACACCCAGCTCCTCTGTTTGTTTTCCCTAACAGACAGATTTGCCTTTGGGCATGACTGTTCCTTTTCTCCCTAATTACGCTGCCACCAGAGGATTACTTCCTCAATTACCAATTATGAACACAGAATCACTGCTGTTAAATATAATGTTTATTTAAAGATTAACAGGTGAAACACACAACGAAAATCATGGATGGTATTGTAGTTGCAATTCATTAAACTTCTTTTGATTTACACATATGTTGGTTCATTTATATTTGTTTTCAGTCACAGTGTAACTGTTTATTTAATTCTTATAACTTTCACTTCTTTCAGTTCTCCCATATATTAATTTTCCAAGTGTTCTCTTTTACTTCCTATCTGTCTACCTATCTCTCCATATATCCCTATCCTCCTTCTCTCTAACTCTTCCCTTGTCCTAACTTTTCATACAGTAACTGTCCACCCTAACTGATTCCAACTGTCCTTCCTTTTTTCCTTCTCCTTCTTGGTTCCGCCCTCCTGTCCTCTCATTGGCTCTCACATCAGGGTTCTAATGGGATGGACAGGCGTGACATTTGGACTGTCTGTCACAGAGACAATATATAGCCTTGTCGTACTCCTTTCCCAATTTTGAACCAATCCGTTGTTCCATATCCAGTTCTAACTGTTGCTTCCTGTCCCACGTATAGGTTTCTCAGGAGATAGATAAGGTGGTCAGGCACTCCCATTTCTTTAAGAACTTGCCACAGTTTGTTGTGGTCCACACAGTCAAAGGCTTTTGCGTAGT